AGAATTATATCAAAACATGCCTAGAGACTAAAATGACATCAAATTAAATTAGTTCTGAAACAAAGGAAAATTGGATCTAAGATCTTATCAGAAACACTTCCCCACCAATGAAAAGTATGAACAGAATTTTAACCGAAAATAATCTTTCGACCTGAGCTTACCTTCCAACTAGCCAGCTTTGATCTTTTGGGACACATTGTTTGTAAGAAACAAGGGACCTTCTCAGCCCCTAGCACCTGGATAAACACCCACCTTCCAGAATACCTATTCAGGAAACTGGACAGAATTACCTGAGTGGGGATTCACTTCAAAGGGTCACTTTTTAAAGAAGATTTATTTCAAACCAGGGACTTTGATCCTAATTGTCTGCCAATGGCTTATTTGATTATAATTCAAAGGATGTAGAAACATCCCTGATCAATTAGGAATAGACAGCAGTTTCCTATGCATTATTGTTGATCTAATTGTTCCTTTTGAGCTGTGTCTGCAAACCTTTGAAGTTAAATATAAGGCTATTCTTTCTCAGATACAGTGAGATTTTCAAACTTCTAACCAGTCTAGCTTTTTAAAGAAATCAGGCTAAGGGACCCATCTACTCATAGTCCTGTTCTACTTAACTTTTATGATTTCAGTGTATTACTTAGGTTAGTTTTTAAAAAAAAAGTATTATTTATTGGTCATCTGTTACACCAAGAGCATTGTTCTAGGCTTTTGGGTATGGGTATTGAAATATAATAGGCGGCACAGATAAGTGGGAAGACAGTGGATATAGAGATTATATGATAGTCAAATTTTCTTTTAACTACATGCTCACATGAATGGTGTGGTACAGAATTTAGGTCCTCTTTCTCCTTGACTTTCATTAACACTGGCAGAAATACAATTTAATAATAATCTAATTTTTAAAATGATCTCCTCCTTGCCTGATACTTTTGAGCTATATTTAATACTCTGAATTTTACCTTCTTTGTTGAGTCCCTATTATCTCCTTTCAGCCCAGTGATCTGTAATTTCAGGGATAAAATAAATTTCATGCTTTTATTTTTCTCCAAACAAAAATAATCTAACAAGCTTCTTCTGGTGGAAGCCAAATAACTTGAACTCCATATTACTATGAGTACCTTTAACCTCTTTTTTTTTTGGGAGGGGTTATCTAGATTTGTAATTTTATTGGGACTGGGAGTGGAAATGTCCTCCATTGATCAACATTAGCAATTCCTCTGGAATCTTAAAGCCTGGGAGTTGCCTGAGAGTTAAATGAATCAACTGTGGTCCTGTCTGGCATATAGTAGGCACTTCATAAATGCATGTTCTCTCTCTTTTCCCCTCTGTCACAAGAAAGTTTTCAATTTGGAAGAGGCAGGAAATGGCTATGTTGTAAAGCTAAAAGATATCAGTAAAATGTATATTATAAGGTTACTATAAAGGTTGAAAATTCAATACAGATTCTTTAATTCTCCTACTTGATCATTTAACAAACTTTGTAATACAACAGATTTTCATTAAACATCTACTAAAGACAAGGGTACCACCTTGGGATAGAAGATTATTTAATATAAAGCTTGTACATTTAATACTTTCATTCCACTAAAGAGAAGGGAAGCTTTGATTTAAAAAAAAAGTTATTGCTTCACTTCTTTATTAAGAGGTATTGCCCATGAGGATCAAGGTGAAAGCACAGTTCTGAAACTGTTGCTTTCTTAATAACATAGCCATAACAAAACCCAGGAGGAAATATTGGGAAAGAAAGTCCCATTCAACAAAACTACTTTCTCAGTACACCCTTTATCTCATAAACAGATTAGCAACTCCTCAAGGACAGGGAAGTATCTTATATTTCCTCAATATCCCCTGTCCCTGCAGCACAGTGCTCTGCTCACAATGAATAGTTGTTAACAGGCTAACTGACACACTCCCAAAGTCACTCACCCTTACTGGCAGGCAGAAAAGTTCTGAATTGTTACAGGGATCTGGAATCAGTTACAGATTTTTGCAATAGAAAAGGGCAGCTTCTATTTTTTTTAAAACCTGGTAGTGTTCAGAAAGGCTCTGCTATGTGCTGGATGGTGAGGTTATAAGCTCATCCTACAACAAAGAAGCTTTTGATAAGCCTAAATTAAATATGGGGCAGACTGAACTTAAACCTGAATAATTTACATATGCTGTTCCTTTGTAGGATGCCAAAGCATTCCATCCCTTTACCTACCTAACTTATCATCAGCATAATTCAGATTTAACTGTTAGCCTTTTCTTGCCCCTCTATTGCCTTTTACAGGAGCCAGGAAGCATAAACCATGCCTGCCACTCATTCTCATGGAAAGGACAAATAACAATATTAGTCTGGCTCTCCTTTAGTAATATGTTGTCCAGAACTAGGTTCTAGAAACCACTTCCTTTCTTTATTTCTTATTCATGTAAAGGAAACTTTTACCCCCTTCCAGCAAATTGCCTTTAAAAAAAACTGCAAGTGAAAAAAAATACTTCAACTCTTTGTCAAAGACTACAGGAAAGTAAAATTCAGCTGTGGGTGACCAGTTTGGGGCTTTTCATTCTCAGTACCATTATGCGGGCACATTGCATAGAATTGAAATTTTCAGTTGGATAATGCAGTTATATAACCACTCCTGGATGGTTATATAACCAAAACTTAATTCCATAAAAATGATTTATGAATTATTTCAGTTTAATTTTTTCTTATAATTGCATACTCTTAATTACTGGCCATGTAAACTCTGGAAAGTCAATTATCCTCCATAGTCCCCAGTTACCTCATCTTCAATATGGGAGGTTTAGTTAGATGGTCTCTGAGATTCTTTACCAGGACTGGATTGATCTCATCTTATGATCTATTATATAATCAATCAATCAACTAGCACCTACTATGTGCCAGACACTGCATATCTAGAAATATAAAGAAAGGCAAAAAAACAGTCTATGCTCTTAGGGAGCTTAAGATCTAACAGATTTAAGTAAAGGGTCTCTTTTTAAAGCTTCATATTTCTGAATTTGAATGAGATAAAAATGTGTAAAGTTATATGCACATATACACACACTTTATATGTATATATATATACTTCTTATTGACAATTGATTTATATTATATATGTGCACATGTGTGTAGATATTTTCCTTTTCTAATTTCAAACCATTAATTTACATTGTATGTGTACATATATATGTACATATATTTATATATGTGTATATATAATTACACATATGTCTTTTGGTTTTGTTTTGTTTCCTTTTCTTGTTTCAGATCATTGATTAGGACTGGATGAGGATCTTAAAAGTCATCCAGTTCAATATTCTCATTTTGTAAATTGAGGCCCAGAGACTAAGTGACTTACCCAAGGTTACGCTATCAATAATTAGCAGAGCTAGGATTTGACCCCAAATCCAATATTCTTTCCCTATACCAGGTCCCCTCTGGAAAAACCTTGAACATAGACTGTCTTTTGAAAAATGCCCTCCCACAGTTCAATATTCTACTAAGTACTTCTGACTGTCTGGAGAGCTCTGAATTCCTTCAATTATCTGAAGAAGTCATAATCACCATTCAGGCAGTTTTTTTCCATTCATTTGAAAAGCTCAGAATGAAAGGTTAGAGTGAGGTGAGAGGTTAGGAGGCGACCTACCAAATTTTGCTACTAGTAGAGTAGATGAACTTCTTATTTTCCAGCCAGATCTCTGCTCCTCCTTTCACATGATATGTTAACTTTTAAAAATGACCACAAAATGCTAATAAAACTTCTACATGTATTTTTTTCCTCTCTCTCAAAAAAAAAGAAAGGGTAAGGATGAGCATCATTTTCATTTTATTTTCTTTTTTCTGGCAGAGGTGGTAAGTTTCTGACAGTTTGCTAAGCAGTGGAAATCATGTTGTAAGCAGAAAGAGTGCAGGACACAGATGCCTGCAAAATAGGCTTTATTTTTCCAGTGGATACTGGCTACTCTCATAGAATCCAAATCCAAAAACAATTTTACTATGAAGCAAAGGTTCGCTGCAACTGAAATCACAAAGCAGAGACTCAAACCAAGGGAGGATTTTATTCTGTAATTCTGAAAATTGACTAGTTACTTAATTCTGTGCTTCATTCTAAATCTTCCAGTTTAGTTCTATTTCACTGCTCAATTTGTGGCATCAGAAACGTTTGCCAGTAGTTGCATTTATACTACAGCAATGGGGTAACAACTGGAAATGGGTCCTTTACAATGCAATATTTACATAGCTAAGTGAGCACTGGATTAGAAAGTGCTTGGAAAGCAGACTTTACTATTTAGAAGTGACATCAACATTTATAAGGCTTAACTGTAGCACCCAAACAAGCTAATACCTAATACTTTGGGGAAAGTCACACAAATGCCAGACAGTTGAGGAATAGCTGAAAACCTTAGAGAAAAGTTTGACTTTTCTGAAACGTGTACCACTTACTGCATCTACAGGAGTTTTGACAGTCAGTCTTGCCAGTAAGACTTTCCCACTACGTAGCTTCTATTCTAACAGACACACTCAGAGTTAATCACGTCTTTGAAGCACTTTTCCTCTTGGACCTATCCCCTCTGAGCTAGGTTTCACTGCAGACAGAACTCACGCTCTACAAACTACTTCTCCCTAACTCTAGATGGGGAAATCCATCAATATTCAAAATGACGATAAAAGCAAAGCTTGGGCGCCCTCAGTAGTTAAGGCAGAATTTTGAATGCTTAAGTTGTACCTAATTCTAGAGTTCTCTGGCTTGTGGCCAAGGGGTTAAATGATAACTTCATTCTATATTGTAAAGATCTTTGTTTAGGACGCAAGATAAAGGAAGAGAGAGGAATAAGGTGAGTAAACCTTCAAAGCAATCATGGAGACCCTTTAATTGCAGAAAATGACATTGGCTCTTTACACATCATTGTTTCCATCATTGCCCTGTTTTCATTGCTCCTTTTGGAGGTCTCAGCATCTCCTGTTTAAGCTGCCCAGAGTGCTAAAAATAAACAAAAACAGTATAACTTACTTTCCAGTGATAAATTGACTTCTGGACGGTGTGCAAATAGGCTGGACGTAGTAGTTTTCCAGTTTAACCCCTTGGGCAGCGAGCTTGTCTAAAGTGGGCGTCTTGATTTCTGATCCGTGGTATCCCACATCTCTGAATCCCTGGTCATCAGCTAGGATGAACACGATATGAGGCTGAGAGGTAGTGGATGAGCTGGACTCTGGCCCCTCTCTAGCCTGGGGGGCTCTGGCTGCTGTCCCTTCCTCTTCCTCCTCCAGGCCGTGGCCCCAGGACAGGTAGCCATAGGTGAGGAGGCTGAGCACAGAGAAGCCTGTCAGCGCCCCCATGGCTAACATCTTCCCCTGCCAGATCCCGGACGCTGGTGGTGGTGGTGGCTGTGGCTGCAGAGGCTGCGGCCCCGCGAAACCCCGGGGGGCCATGCACCCCACCCTGAGCCAAGACTGCTGAGCGCACGTGGTGCCCTCCACGCCACCTTGGGCAAACACATGCAGACGGGAGATCACTCAGTCCGTCACAGGGTGGACCCCAAAGGAAAGCGGGGGCTCTTCCTGACTGACACCAACTTCAACGACTTTGTCTTCCTCTTCCTGAAGTGATGCATGGGTGGATTGAAAATGGGGGGGGGGGCAACGTAAGAAGAGGCTGTTCTCTCTTCTATTTTTTTATTTTCCTCCTAATATCCCCCCTCAAAAGTGAGAACAATACCAACAACAAAAACCTCACACCCCTCCCTCAAAAAAAAAAAAAAAGTACAAAGAGAGGGTAGTGAAAGTCAAAGCAAAGCTGAGACTTTTCTTTTTAGGTGCCGCGATCCTAACATCCTTCAGCTATAGGGCATAGCTGGGAGGGCTGTGTCAGACAGCCCCATACCCCGCAGCAGCCTCCCTAAGAGTACAGAAATAGCAGGAGAGGTTGCCTTAGCTTCTGTCCCTCATCCCGAACTGCAAGGAGGATGTCGCTTTTGCAAACGGCCCATAACTGACGCTCAGGGGTTCCAAGAGGACCGCGGGCTGACTGATCACTTTCTCCACTGCTTTCTTGTTCTCCTCCCTCTTTCTGGCTTTTCCGAACTCCTTGACACTCACCAGGGGGAACTAAACGGAAAGCGGGGTGGGTGCGTGTAGGGGGAATCCACTTCTCACTTCTCTCTCTCCTTCCCTCTTCCCTCCACCCTAAGTCCCTAAAAGAAGGTTGGGAAGAGTCCTCCGGCTGACCTTGGTGGACCTCTCCCGAGAGAAAGTGTCCCTACCCCAGGGTGCCCTGGCCGGTGCTGTGCCCAAGGACCCTCCCCACCCTAGGCTGCAGCCACACAGAGCAGAGCCAGCCAAGTCAATTTTGCCCCGACCTGGCGACTCGTGCAGCCGCTGGCGCTGGCTGAGAGTTGCGTGCGCTTGGTCAGGAAGCCCTTTTTATTTGGCACTTTCGGGCCGTTTCCTCCGCCCCTTTCCCCCGCCCCCCACAACAGCTTTCCCTCTTCAGTGAATCGCAGAGCCGTACGCCGTTCCCTCCTGCTCCCCCAGGAAGAAGGGGGAGAGGAGGAAGAGGCGAATTGGAGGGAGTGAGGTGGGGGAGTGGTGGGAGCGTTCCCAGGACCTCGGTGCCTCCGCCAGGGCTGTGACTTGGTGGTGATCTCGGCTCTTCGCGATTATCCCGAGAGAGGAGAAATAACTGGAGTTGGGGGTAGGGGTGAGGTTAGGGATAAAAAGTATGGCAAGAAGCTCCCCTATCCGTGCGGGGCTTGTCTGGACACTCTCCCTCCCTCCCTCCCTTCCTCCCTCATTCCCTCTCTCCCTCTCTCTCCCTCTCCCTCTCTCTGTCTCTGTCTCTCTCTGACTCTCTCTCTGTCTGTGTCTCTGTCTGTGTCTCTGTCTCCGTCTCTCTCTCTCGCGCGCGCGCGAGAGAGCTAGCGCCCCCGTTGCCAAACTTTTTCCTCCCAAAAACTTGCCCTGGAAGATGGGAGAGGAAGACGCAGAAGAACAACTGTTTTAGCAAAACCACGTCCTTTTTCATCTCCTAATCGGGTTTCCTCGGACCCTTTCCTCCCTCTCTGGGCCCTCTGCTCCTGGCTTCTCCATCTTTCCATTCTTTCTTCCTCTTTCCAATCAAGGTTTCAAACTGTAAAGTCTGGCTTCCCTCTCGCCATAGTTGATCTGGTTGCCGGAGGTCAGTTTCTTCTTCTGGAATGAGAGTATCCCAATCCCTCCATCCTGTTCCAACAAACCGGCCTGTGTGCAAAGAGGGATGGGACGGGCCAGGGGGGGAAACTAGGCTTGCAACTTCACGCTCAGCCCATCGTTTGAGAGGCTAGCCCAAGTGAAGCCTATCTGTCTCTTCAGCTCTTCCTCCAGTATTTCTGTATTTCTGTGGCCACCCCTTCTGTTCAGAGCCAGAAAACCCTTCCTAAAGCTACTTTTGCTTTCCTGGATTTTCCTGCTTTTCATAGAATATCCTGCTGTTGGTTTAGGGAAGGATCTCCCTCTCCCCACCATCAGGCTCGGCCCTTCACTACCCTGGACACTCAGGTGACATCATGAGAAACACTTGAGGGAGGAGCTGAGAAATAGAAGGAGGGGGGAATTCTGAGATCAAACTTTGGCTGCATTACGGTTCTGGCTTTGGGTAGGTCCCTTTTTGCTGCCCAGCATGAGCAAGCATCATTTCCATAGTCACCACTGGGCATCCTCTAGTTGAATAAATGGCAAGCTTCCTACTTAACCACCTCATGGCACTTTTAAAATGCAAATCGCTAACCCAGGGAATGCACTGGTAGGGGTTCAGGAGCCACAAGACACCATCTCTTGCTTCTCTACTCTAGAATTAAAGATCTTTAGTTTTTAAAAATTTTTAATTAATTAATTAATTTTTAGTTTTCAACATTTATTTCCACAAGATTTTGAGCTCCAAATTTTCTCCCCATCTCGCCCCTCCCCATCCCAAGACAGTGTGCATTCTGAATACCCCTTCCTCTAATCTGCCCTCTCTTCTATCACCCCTCCCCTTTCTCTTATTCCCTTCCCCTTCTATTTTGCTATAGGGCAGGATAGATTTCTATACCCCATTGCCTGTATATCTTATTTGCCAGTTGCATGTAAAAACAATCTTTAACATTTGTTTTTAAAGCTTTGGATTCCAAATTCGCTCCATCCCTCCCTCCCCACTCACCCTCATTGAGATGGCAAACTACTCAATACGGGCTATACATGTGTAGTCATGCGAAACACTTCCATAGTAGTCATGTTGTGAAAAACTAACTGTATTTCCCTTCATCCTATCCCACCTCCCATTTATTCTGTTCTCTCCTTTGACCCTGTCCCTCCTCAAAAGTGTTTGCTTCTGATTACCCCCTCCAATCTGTCCTCCCTTCTATCATCCCCCACACTCTTAACCCCTTCCCCTCTATTTTCCTATAGGGTAAGACAGATTTACATACCCAATTGAGCATGTATGTTATTCCCTCCTTAAGCCAAATCTGATGAGAATAAGATTCATTCATTCCCTCTCACCTTCCCTCACTTCCCCTCCACTGCAAAAGTTTTTCTTGTCTGTTTTTATGTGAGATAATTTACCCTATTCTATCTCTCCCTTTCTTCTTCTCACAGTATAATCCTCTCACCCCGTAATTTTATTCTCCAGATATCACCCATTCATCTTCTACTCACTCTGTGCCTTCTATCTACATATACGTATATTTTTTCCCCTCCAACTACCCTAATAACGACAAAGGTCTCATGAGCTACAAATATCATCTTTCCATGTAGTAAACAGTTCAACTTTAATAAGTCCCTTAAGATTTCTCTTTCCTGTTTACCTTTTCATGCTTCTCTTGAGTCTTGTATTTGAAAGTCAAATTTTCTATTCAGCTCTTCATCAAGAATGCTTGAAAGTCTTCTATTTCACTGAATATCCATTTTTTCCCCTGAAGGATTATACTCAGTTTTGCTGGGTAGGTGATCTTGGTTGTAATCCTAGCTCCTTTGACCTCAGGAATATCATATTCCAAGCCCTCTGGTCCCTTAATGTAGAAGCTGCTAAATCTTGTGTTATCCTGATTGTATTTACACAATATTTGAATTATTTCTTTCTGGCTACTTGCAATATTTTCTCCTGGACCTGAGAACTCTGGGATTTTGCTTTAATATTCCTAGGAGTTTTCCTTTGGGGATATCTTTCAGGAAGTGATTGGTGGATTCTTTCCATTTCTATTTTACTCTCTGGTTCTAAAATATCAGGACAATTTTCCTTGTTAATCTCTTGAAAGATGAGGTCTAGGCTCTTTTCTTGATCATGGATTTCAGATAGTCCAATAATTTTTAAATTATCTCTTCTGGATCTATGTTACAGGTCAGTTGTTCTTTCCATGAGATATTTCACATTGTCTTTTGTTTTTTCATTCTTTTGGTTTTGTTTTACAATGTCTTGATTTCTCAAAAGTCATTAGTTTCCATTTGCTCCATTCAAATTTTTAAGGAAGCATTTTCTTCAGTGAGTTTTTGGACTTCCTTCTCCATTTGGCCAATTTTGCTTTTAAGGCATTCTTGGCTTTTTCTAAGGCTTTTTGGACCTCTTTTGCCATTTGGGTTAGTCTATTTTTTAAGGTGTTATTTTCTTCACTATTTTTTGGGGATCTCCTTTAACAAGCTATAGACTTGTTTTTCATGATTTTCTTGCATCACTCTCATTTCTCTTCTCAGTTTTTCCTCTACTTTTTTTACTTGCTTCTCAGAATCCTTTTTGATCTCTTCCATGGCCTGGGACCAATTCATATTTTTCTTGGAGGCTTTGGATATAGGAGCTTTGACTTTGTTGTCTTCTTCTGGTTGTATGTTTTGATCTCCTTTGTCACCAAAGTAACATTCTATGGTCTGACTTTCTTTGTGCTGTTTGCTCATGATCCCAGTCAATTTGTCTTTTAAACTCTTTGTTAAGGTAGGGGTCTACTTCCAGTGTGAAGAATGTACTGTCCTAAGTTTAAGGGGTTTTGTGAAGCTGTTTTCAGAGATACTTCTAGGGACCTGTAAATTTTCAGTTCTTCCAAGGTGGTATGATCAAGGGGGAGGTGTTTACTTCTTTCTTGGCCTGTGTGCTGGTCTGTGAGTGATGACAAGTACTTTTTTCTGCCTTGGAACTGTAAGGAGAATTCCCTCTCCACTGCCACTACAAGCTCCATCACAGCAGCACTCCTCCTTACCCCAGGATTGCCACCTAGGACTGTGACTCAGATCCAAGCATGGGCAAAGCGAAGGAATCCTGCCTCAGTGACAGCAAAGAGATTCCTGCAACCCCCCTCTGATCAACCACTCAATTCCCCCACCCCCATCTGTGGGCTGAGAGTTCCGTAAGCAGCCGCCACCCTGGGGCTCTGCTGGGACTGAGACCTGATCGAGCTCCTCTCCCACTGACCTTTCAAGTTGTCTTTGTC